CCGCGCTCGCCTTGAGGAAAATTTTGACATGACAGGAGCCATAGCAGCACTCTTCAACCTCATCTCAGCCACCAACGTGTACCACCCACCACACTCCACTACTCCCCACCACTCCCCACCGTCCCCCACCACTCCCCATCACTCTCCACCACTCTCCATGGCTCCTCACCACTCACCATCAGGTCCGCGCTCGTCTAGAGGACAACTTTGACACTGCGGGAGTCATAGCAGCGCTTTTCGACCTCATCTCAGCCACCAACGTGTACCTCAAAGACACATCCGCCAAGAAACGCCGCCCGCGGCCGCTCCTGCTGCAGTCTGCCGCCCAGTTTGTCTCCCGGATCCTGCAGGTCTTTGGTACGTCGCCATGCCCTTCACTTCCAAGAGCCTGAAACGCCTATCCTCCACCCTGCAGCCCAAGTCTAGAGGCAACTGAGAAATGCACAGCGTTGCTGCGTGGACACGTGACGTCACAAGAGTGGTTTTTTTAGATGTCTAAAAAATTCACTCTTATCACGTGGATGGATGCCTACCGCCTGCCCCGCCCCGAACGGCCCTTGTAGGTGAGGCGTCTAAAGTCTATCCTCCACCCACCCACCTCCTACCCCCTGTAACGCAAACCACAATCCAAAGAGGCTATTGTGCTGTGTTGAGTGTTTATTCGTGTGTGTGTGTGTGCGCGCGTGTGTGTGTGTGTGCGCGCGTGTGTTTGTGTGTTGCGCGCGTGTGTGTGTGTGTGCGCGCGTGTGTGTGTGTGTGGCGCGCGCGTGTGTGTGTGTGTGCGCGCGTGTGTGTGTGTGTGCGCGCGTGTGTGTGTGTGTGCGCGCGTGTGTGTGTGTGCGCGCGCGTGTGGTGTGTGTGTGTGTGCGCGCGTGTGTGTGTGTGTGCGCGCGTGTGTGTGTGTGTGCGCGCGTGTTGTGTGTGTGTGCGCGCGTGTGTGTGTGTGTGCGCAGCGTGTGTTTGTGTGTGCGCGCGTGTGTGTGTGTGTGCGCAGCGTGTGTGTGTGTGTGTGTGTGCGCGCGCGTGTGTGTGTGTGTGCGCGCGTGTGTGTGTGTGTGTGCGCGCGTGTGTGTGTGTGTGCGCGCGTGTGTTTGTGTGTGCGCGCGTGTGTGTGTGTGTGCGCGCGTGTGTGTGTGTGTGCGCGCGCGTGTGTGTGTGTGTGCGCGCGTGTGTGTGTGTGTGTGCGCGCGTGTGTGTGTGTGTGCGCGCGTGTGTGTGTGTGCGCGCAGCGTGTGTGTGTGTGGTGCGCGCAGTGTGTGTGTGTGTGCGCGCGTGTGTGTGTGTGTGCGCGCGTGTGTGTGTGTGTGCGCGCGTGTGTGTGTGTGTGCGCGCGTGTGTTTGTGTGTGCGCGTGTGTGTGTGTGTGTGCGCAGCAGTGTGTGTGTGTGTGCGCGCAGCGTGTGTGTGTGTGTGTGCGCGCGTGTGTGTTGTGTGTGCGCGCGTGTGTGTGTGTGTGCGCGCGTGTGTGTGTGTGTGCGCGCGTGTGTGTGTGTGTGCGCGCGTGTGTGTCACCTGCTTGTGCTACAAGTCTGTTCGACTTGAGTCTGGATCATTTGGCCGAGGAACATCAGCTGGGGCTGAGGGCGAGCAATCCAAAGAGGCTATTGTAGTGCTTGAGTGTTTACATGTGAATGTCGACTGGCCGTGCTGCAGGTCTGCTAGACTCGAGTCTGGATTCGTTTGGCATGACAGCAGGAGGAGCGGCAGCAGGGGCCCAGGGCGAGCAATCCAAAGAGGCCATCGTGGTGAGTAAAGGGTGTACACATCTTTTTATTCGTATATGTGTGTATACATACATGTACACATCATGTTGCTGTTTACTTCCTATACCCCTTGTCATTCTAACCCCATGTCAACGCAGTCTCTTTTTTCTCATCTCCATTCAACCCCTTCTCCTCCCTCCCACTTCCCCTCAACCCAGGTGCCCTACATCCAAGGCTTCTCAACGTTCCGTGACGATGTGCGGGCAGCAGTGCGCAGAAACGCCACCAAGGTGAGATGCAATGAGAGTAGCAGAATATGACAAGGCAGGCTGGCTGGACCATACACGGCCTCGTGAGGTCCCACGGATCCTTGCTCAAGAGAAAGAGAAGGGCAGTCAGGGTGAGTGTGGACTCATCATTCGCCTCATCCCATAAATCCTTTGCTCAAGGGAAAGAGAATTGCAGTCAAGGTGGGAATCTGCATGCAGCCCTGCCTCAGAGTCTGGTTCGGTTCGGTGGTCTCCTCAAACTCGGGGTCCTTGGGGTGTTCACTCCAAGAGAGCACGATGAGAGTCGAGTTTTGAGACGTCTCAAATCTGGTTCGGTGGTCTCCTCAAACTCGGGGTCCTTGGGGTGTTCACTCCAAGAGAACACGATGAGAGTCGAGTCAAAAAGCGGATTATCACCCTCCGTCCACCCTCCCTCCCACCCTGTAACGCCGTCATTGGCAGGATGTGCTGTTGTCGCTAACTGACAAAATGAGGGACCATGCGATGGTGCCCCTTGGGAGTCGCTGCGAGAACCGGGGCAGTGCGGATTGACTGTACCTTTTCTCTCTCCCCACCCCTGATGTTGATGAGCTGGTGTTATGTTCAGGAAGAGTTGCTGTCGCTAACTGACAAAGTGAGGGAGTATGCGATGGTGGACCTTGGGAGTCGCTGCGAGAACCGGGGCGGGGAACTTGCGTGAATCCACTCTGCCTCCTCCCCCACCCCTCACCCCGCTGACTTTTGAGTCGACTCAAAAGTCCCCCCCCCTCATCCCTGGTGTTGACGTGCTGTGTGTACTGCCATTCAGGATGAGCTTCTATCTCTCACCGATAAGGTTAGGGACTATGCTATGGTGGACCTCGGGATTCGCTGCGAGGACCGCGGCGGCGCGGGGGCAGAGGCAGCGGTGGTGAAGCTGGATGATCCCAAGGTGCTGCGAGCTGAGAGGGATGAACGGATCGCCAAGGCTGCTGCTGAGGCCAAGCGGAAACTGCAGACGAAACTGGCGGCCAAGGTGAGACGTGGTTGGGTTGGGTGTACTCGGTTGGTGTTGGGATGAGGGGAGCAGAAGCAGCAATGGAGGGTTGGGAGGTGGGAAGGGTAGGAGCGGAGGCAGCGGTGGTGAAGCTGGATGATCCCAAGGTGCTGCAGGCAGAGTGGGACGAGCGGATTGCCAAGGCTGCTGCTGGAGGCCAAGCGGAAACTGCAGACGAAACTGGCTGCTAAGGTGAGTAACTCTTGGGTAAACTGGGTTTCTGGGGCAAGGTGAAGGTGTTGGTGTTGGTGTGGGGGGTGGGGGAGATGGGGGAGGCTGCAGTGGGGTCTAGTTGAAGAGGGCTCTAGCCTGAGCCTCTAGGAGTGGGGAGTGGGGAGTGGGAAGGAGGGGAGGCGAGCAGCGGTGGTGAAGCTGGATGATCCCAAGGTGCTGCGAGCTGAGCGGGACGAGCGGATCGCCAAGGCTGCTGCTGAGGCCAAGCGGAAACTGCAGACGAAACTGGCGGCTAAGGTGAGGGAGGGGATGGGTAAACTGGGATGAAGGGAATGTGTTAGGGGGCGTAGAGGTGAGGGGGCTGCGGTGGGGTCTGGTGAAGGGTCTGAGAGTGGAACTGCATGGAGGGAAGGAGTGGTGGGCAGGCAGCGGTGGTGAAGCTGGGCTTTTTTTTTAGCGCTCCAATGCCGTTTCCCATCTCGTTCCCCCTTGTATCTCGCTTTTTCCCTTCTCCCCCACAGGTGAAGGGCTTGGAGCGGTGGCAATTCGCCTCTGTGCCTCCTGCAGAGATTTTCAAGAAAGCGGTGGACGAGTACAGCACGTGGGATAAGAAGGGCGTGCCCAAGGGAGAAGGGAGAAGCACTTGTGTCAAGGGCGGCAAGAAGCTCATTTTGCCTTGTATTGTATCCTCTTCCTCCTTGCACCACAGGTGAAGGACTTGGAGCGGTGGCAGTCGGCATCTGTGCCTCCCTCTGACATCTTTCGGAAAGCGGTGGACAAGTATAGTGCGTGGGATGACAAGGGCGTGCCGACTCATGACAAGGATGGCAAAGAGCTTTCAGCTAAAGCCAAGAAGGTGTGTGCTTGCTTTGCGGTTAAAAACAGCAGCATTCAGCCTTCAGTCTTGGGGGGTGGGAAGCTGAGTATCACCCATGGCTGCCAGGGAGTGGACAAGGGCTGAACCCATCTCCCTCCCCCCTCCACACCCCCACTCCTGTCTGTCAGGGAGTGGACAAGGAATTGAATAAGGCAGAGAAGGCATTGCCAAGTACCAGCAGACAGTCGTTCTCTCCTCCCCCTCCACGTTCCCCATCACCCCCCTCTCTCTCTCCGCACGTCCCCGCACTTGCCCCGTGCTTTGCGAGGGAGTGGACAAGGAGCTGAAGAAGGCAGAGGAGGCATTTGGCAAGTACCAGCAGACAGTCGTTCTCGTCCTCCCACTCGGCCTCCCATCACTCACTCTCTCGCCCTTTCTCCCTCTGCACATCCCTCCACATCGCCCATGCCTACCAGGGTGTGGACAAGGAATTGAAGAAGGCAGAGGATTCGTTTGCCAAGTATCAGCAGAAGGTGGGAGAAGATCCCGGGTTCCTGGACTCGCTCAGAGAGGAGGTTGCCAGGCTGGAAGCTGAGCTGGCAAAGTGATAAGAAAGATTTGCCAGCAATGGTCGAGCGCAGCGCAGCATAGAGCCTGATCAATAGGTCCTGCTTACGATATCCCTGGGCCTCGTCTAATCTCTAGGCCCTGTTTAACCCTACTGTTTCCTGATGTGTGAGATGCACTGCACCGCACTTCACCGCACCATCTTCGAAGCATTTGGCTGTGAGAGGATTGTGGCATGTGATTGGATGGTTGTTTTGGATGTGGTGAAAATGAATAAACTTTTTGGCGCACACTGACTGCTGTGTTGGCCCAAACAGCTCCGAAGAATGCATTCAGTGCAAGGCTGGGTTGTGTTGCTACAGTACAGTAACGTGGAAGAGAATTATAATTCAAAAGTTTATTGTGTGTTACGTCGCGTTGAGTCGCGGTGTATCATCACTGTTGCAGCAGTAACAGCCCAAACAGAACGGTGGAGAGCGGTACAGTGAGGTTGTCGTCTAGCTTATCGCTGATTGGCAGTGACTCCACCACTGTAGCTCCGAGGCTGACCAGGAAGACTCGGAGAGGCAGGTTCGGCAGCAGCAGCCAATCAGAGGAGTAGAATCCTGCTGCTATGAAGAGATGAATGGTGCTGATGGGATGTTACGAACGAAAATGAGGAAGGGAGGTGAGGGAAAGGGTGGAGGTGAAGAGTGCTGATAGGATGAGGAAGGGGACTTGTTACGAGCGAAAGGACGGCAGTGTGAGTGGGGACAGGGTGGGAGAAGGGAGGAGATGACAAATGCTGAGGATGTGGAGATGTTAACAAGCTGCAATGAGGAAGGAGAGAGGAGGATGGTGGATAGGGAGGAAAAGCAGTGTTGTTAGCTACTAGCATGCAATCAGAGCGCAACATGCGCAATCAGAGCCAAACAATGAGCGAGACAGTCATGCAAGCAAGGCAAGCACGCACAAGAGGGCGAGCCCATATCCAAAGAGCAGCATGGCCATGCTCCCTGCCCAGCTCTTCTCGTCGTTCCACGGCAGCTTTGCGGAACCTACTCTCCGCCCCACAATGTCAGCGATGCCTGGAGGGAGAGTGAGATATGGAAAGGGAGGATGGCATCGCAATGAAGGGCGATGCATGAGAAATGGAAGTGCAAGGAGAAACGAAAGGGCGCAATGAGTTTGGAGGGGCAGCAATGCAATGGGGAGGGACGATGAAACTGGAGCAATGAAGACAAGAGGGGTGATGGATGGAAAAAGAGAGAGCAACATGATCCAGCATGGCAGCTTGGATTCTGCTCTACTAACCACCATCTCCACCGCACTACCCACCATCTCCACCGCACTACCTGCCATCTCCACTGCACTACCCACCATCTCCACCACACATGAGCGCCAGTGCCACGCCCCCAACAGGGGAGGCAGCGCCAGAATGTGATTGTAACGAAGGCTAGCGTAAGGATGTAGTATAGGGGGTAGGGGGCCGCCCAAGAGCTCGCTGTATGAAGGGGGAGGAGGGAGTGGTGCGGGGGAGGGTGAGACGGGCAAGAGGGTGAGAAAGAGAGAGAAGTAAGAGGGAGAGGAGAGAGAATATATTTTGAAAATCTTCAGAGGCTGAAAAGGTAGAAGATTGCAGGGAGGGAGTAAGAGGAGGGGGAAAGAGGAGCTGAAGGGGCCCAGAGCTGCACACACACCACACAGCACCACACCACACCACACCACACACCACACCACACACACCTGAGCTACCCTCTCGGCTCATAGCCTTGACCATGACCTTCGTTGCGCGTCACCACCAGCCCCAGCAGCAGCAGGGCGCGTGGCGTTGATTAAAGGGCACCGCACTGGCAAAGAAGCGTGCATTGAAGCTCGTGCTGCAAGGAGGTGGGGTGGGAGGGGCGGTGTGAGGGGCAGAAAGGGGGAGGAGGAGAGGGGAAGGAGAGGAGGGGACGAGAGGGGGTGGGGGAGAAGGGGGGTTTGTTCGTTGGGAAGATGACACCAGCACTATAACCCGCTACAACACGTGCGTCGCATTCATGTGAGTATCCCGAAACCCTGGCGGAAAAGCGTGCGTTGAAGCTTGTGCTGGAACCACAGAAAAGCACGGTGTTGAAAAGGTGGAGGGGAGCGGAGAGGAGAGGGTTGGGAGGGGGAGGAGAAGGGGGTCGGGGGGTGGGTAGTGTATGGTTTGTGATGTGAAGTGGGGGAGGGGGGAGGAGGATTGGGTATAGGCAAGATTATGTGAGGCTAACTCGAGAGGCTGAAGCAGTAGCAGCAGGCCCTGAGCTTAAGAGCGAAGAGAGGAAGAGTTGACTTGAAGAGCCCAAGTAACAGAGGATGCTCAACTGAAGATCCACAAGAACAGCTCACCAACCATGTCAGCCACGTCAGTTAATGTAGGCCTACATGGCCGACACACCAGGAGGAGCAAGGAGGGAGAAGGAGCTGCTGACATGGAAGAGAGCTGCTGACATGGAAGAGAAGCGGGCAAAAGGAGGGAGAGCTGACCTGAAGAGCCTAACGAACAGGGGTGCTGCTGACATGAAGAGGCGGCCAGACGAGCATGAAGAGCGGCCAGGACGAGCATGAAGAGCAGGCCTGTGGTGATGTGCACGAGCTTCTGAAGCGCCTTGAAAATCCACATACCAGCTAACAGAGAGGAGGAGCTGATCTGTTTTGAGCCGTCTCAAAAGAGGAGAGAGCTGACCTGAAAGAGCGGCCAGAAAAGCATGAAGAGCAGGCCTGTAGTGATGTGCACGAGCTTGCGACTCAGCTTCTGCACTTGGCTAAGCATGCAATAATGGGGTTCAAGGGTGAATGGGGGAGGAGGAGCAGGGGATGAAGACCACTCTTAACTCACCACTCGATCCTCCCCACCTAACCTCAGCCTCATCGCACCTCACCTCACAGCTTCTCACACCTCTCACTTTTTACTTCCTCAACGTCCAAAGCCTCCCAGCCTCTTTCAAACCCACAGCTCACACCGTTCAATGAGGCCTCGCCTCACCACTCCATCAAACAGCCGCACCACAGATGAGCGACCCCAGCAGGGTTACCCGCCCCATGCACCGGATCATGCTACTCGCCAACCCCACTCCCATAACATCACTCCACTCCACCGGACGCTTACTAGCCCTTCCAAGCTACCAACCAGCCTCTCCAGTCGACTCAACGGTAAAACTCACCCGTTCAATGAGGTCTCCCTCGCCAGCTCATCAAACAGCCGCACCCAGATGAGAGATCCTACCAGGTTACCAGCCCCATCACCGGATCCTGCCACTCGCCTAGTGATGCCGCTGCCGCTCCCACCCTGCCCTGCTAGCTGCCGTTACTATGCCGCTGCCGCCGCTGCTACTGGCGCTGCTGCTCCCGCTGCTGCTGCTGGATGGTGCGGCTGCCGCTGCACTAGCAGCGAGAACCGGCAGTGACAGAGATAGCAGCTACAGTAGCGCCAGAAAAGGCGTTTTCTAGGGCAATGGGTGGGGCGCCTAACTGGGCTTGAATGGGAAGGGCGAGGGAGAGCGAGAGAGGGAAGGAGGGGGGGACGAGAACAGGCAGGGATGATAAAACCCCTGACAGGTGCGTTACGTCTACAATAGGGAGGTCTGGCAAGGACGCTAGGTTCCACACTGCGTTCTGCATGAACCCTCCTCCTGCCGCTCCTCCCCCCACTGCTCCCACGGCTTCTGCTGCTGCCGCCGCCGCCTCTGCCGCCGCCTCAGCTGCTTCCGCTGCCGCTTCTGCCGCTTGCGCCGCTGCCTCTGCTGCGTATGCTGCAGCTTCCGCGGCGGCCTCCGCTGCTGCAGCTGCAACCTGCGCGGCGGCAATCGCGGCGGCTTTGCTCGTAGTAGCAGCGAGCGCGTAGGGCGGGAGAAGCAGAGCGGTACCGAGGACACTCGCCGCTACAGCTCCTGCTACAGCTCCTGCTACAGCTCCTGCTACAGATGAGAACCGGGCCCAGTGGTCACTCCCCCGTTCATGCTCCCCCCAGGCGTGCCCGCGTTTCGCGCCACCATTAGCGGCATCGCAGGTGCTCCAGCTTCCATCAAATTTGTTGTCTCTATTGTCATTGCCTGAGCCTCTCCGGACGATGCTTGGACCGGTCGAATGTCGAAGTGAACTGGGATTTCTGGTGTCATCGCGTGTTCCTGTATCCTCGCGTGACTGAGTCGAACGGACGAGCCTCCCTGCTACGCCGTCGCGGTCGGCGTACTCGTTATAGTCACGGCGGCCACCCGCGGCGATAACTCTGCTGAAACTATGTGCTGGGCTCGCCTGAGATACTCTACACTCGTGGGGATGAGTGCGATCATGGCGATGATGACTCTTGAGGCGCCTCCACAGTAGGCTCGCCTGAGATACTCTACACTCGTGGGGATGTGGGTGATCATGGCGATGTTGATGATGGTGGTAATGGTGATGGTGATGGCGGTGATTGTTCGAAGAAATGCGTTGGTGTTGCTGACGATATAATGCCCGCTGAACCGGTACACCATATACGCATTGTAAGGCCTGTGAACCCTGATCATGCTCACCCCGTTGACCCCGTTGACTTGAATAACTCGGGAGTCTGTCCCGGCGAATTGGTGCACGCTACGGAAGCGTATGCAATCTTGCAGAGAGAAGGGAATGGCGGGTGGGAATTGGGTGGCGTAAGCAGGCGATTGGCGGAGAGAATGGGAGGCCATGGCAGGAACCATCGAAGTTGTCCTAGAAGCCACAGCTTGGTATCGAAATTCCCGGAGCGTTACCTATCCTGCGGCAAAATGCAGGCTGGCACTTGTTGAGCAGACACTAATGCGCGTGTGATCTATTTTCGAGTTCGGAAAAAAGGTCGAACTTTGTGTGGTTACCAGCTTCGCTAATGTCGTCAGGAAGCTTTGGCGAAGGCATGAGAATTTTGGGGCACATAAGTTCGAATGTCAAATGTGAACTCCACTCGAATCACACGAGTGAACGTGCGGGTGCACGTGAGGCGAGTGTGTGCTGCTTTCAGCACGTACGAAGACCATCCGAAATTTGCGACCACTTTGCGAAGGTCGTTGAGCTTCGTTGTGCATTACGTTAACGGTCGCGCTGGACCAGGTAGCCTACTCCCCTACGGGCGGCTCGCCGTCATCCCTAGAAGGTCGAATCTCTGTGTTCGACCTAGGGTGTGTGATTGTGACTCGTCTGTGTTGGAGACCCAAGATTCGAACTTCGCTGGAAAGAAAGTAGAGTTTTGTTCAAATGCTACATTCGACCTAAAAACATAAACTTTCACAAATTTGTAAGACCACACGCGCCCTAAAGGACAGATCCTACCGAACAGTGAGGGGTATGCAGCCTGAACGACTAGTCTAAGGAGATTCCTCAGTCCCACAGGTAGTGTGCAGAATGAACTTGCAGAGTGCGCAGTAAAACGGATGACGAGAATGTTGAACTACAGAATTACTGAATGACGATACAAGGAAAGTGTCGAGACTAAATAGGGGAAATGCTAGCTAGGCGGGGAGGTCGGGAAAGGATGGTTCGATGATGGTTGCGACTCGTGCGAAGGCGACTCGGGGGTGGTTCGGTGCGACGAAATAGGCCCAACAGGCTCGTCGCGTGACCCTCAAGATACCCTCGCTAACGAGTGCCTCAGTAAGGATTTGTATATCCTTACAGGTAGATGTAATGTAACTGTTACGGGTGCAATGAATCGAGGTAGCGAGAATTGCACTAAAGTGTCAAACAAGTACAAAGCATGAGCGAAGGCATGAGCGAATACTTATACGCGAAACACGCAAACGGTAACGCGGTGCATGCGAGCTAGCTAGTGCTACGCTGGCGCGAGGTTCGGGCTAGTCATGAGGCGTAGGCGGACTCGGCTGTTCTAGCAGTGCGATGTTTGGTGAAACAGTGCGCGAAGTTGGCGAAGCCCCGCTAGCAGTAACAGGCGAACAACGGGCTGCTGCTGTACGCGATGTTGCAGGTCGCGGTAAGGAATGTCTAGAAAATTCCTTACAATAACCCCCCACCACCCCCCCCCACCGCCCAAAAAGGCCC